TTTCATCCTACAAATTCATTTCCTGATTATAAAGTTGGTACAGAATGGTCTGGTAAATATACAATTGTATTAAACTCGGATAATAAAAGATTTGGAGGCCATGATAGAATAAATGAGAGCATAGCTTATTTTTCATCACCTGAATCTTGGAATGGAAGAAAGAATTCTATCAAGGTATATATAAATATAAATATAAATATACATATGAATATAACTACACATATGATTATAATTAAAATTTTTATTTTTTAGGTTTATATTCCATGTCGTGTTGCATTAGTTTTAGCACATGATTAAGTTTTTTTAAAAATTTGCATTTTCAAATTATTTATTTTTATAATAATTTGTAATATTATTATTTATAATTAAATAAATATCACACACAAATCAAAATTTTATCATTGCCATTTATATTTTAAAATTTATTAAATCACTCAATTATTATAAAAAGATTTGAAATAACAAAAAAATTAATTGTAGGATTTCAATGGCAGCTCTAATGTGTAAACATGCACCATCACATATCAAATATCTCATACAATGACAATTAATCTCTGGCAACAATCATACAATGTAACAATCATGCCAGGATTGTCAGATACATGCTCTAGATTTTTTTGATTGTGGCAAATAAATATTTGTCAAGACTAAATTTAATAAAATCAACATAATTGTTTTGAATAAATTTGTTCTACATCTTCATATTTTGGAATGCTATTGATATTTCTTGCTAAAGGCTCTTTTAATTGACTCTTTTCCTGTCAATATATTCTTGCAATGGTTCCAATGTTTATTTTATATCATTCCATAATTGTTTTTGCATCTCATATACAAGCATTGCACAAAGTGTATCCATATTAATATGCAGTGCATTTCTTCTTTTTGAAATCTTAGAAACTTAGTTGGTTTAAACAGTAATTTAAATCTTTCCAAATAGTCATCAATTGTGGTATTTTTAATTCACAAATAATGCTTTCTCTACTAGAATAAGTCCAAAATTGCATTTAATTTATATCAATCCAACCACTTCTAATATATTGTACAAATTCCAAAACTCCATTCAAGGTTAGTTATCCATTAGTTATCCATACATTCTGTCATTAAATTAGAGCTATCTTGCTCAGCTTATCACATCAGCAGCTAATCAGTACCTGATAAATTGCAAAAATTATGTCACGACAAATATTAAAAGAAGAATCAATAAATGGATTCAACATAAATTGGCTTGGATATCATTTTCAAAGTAAAGACTTACAAAATCAGTGAACCACCTCTATAAAATCCTTTACGGTGGTTCAAGACTTTCACTTCCGTCATTTTTTTTAATATCAGAGATCCTTTGCTTTTTGACATTTCCTCTAATAAATTTATTTATATATCGCAAAAGGCAAGAAATCTTTTGGAATCCTTGTCATTAGAAAACAAAGTAAAAAAAAATTGATGGAAATATCTCCCTCTTTATTAAAAATATTTCAAAAAATCCTCTTTGCTCTTTCACAATTCTTCCGCTATACAAAGAAACACAAACATTGACACTACATAGTGATCCAGTAACTAGGGAAGTTTTCAAAGAAAATTTTGATCATTGGTGGGTGAAATAGAAGCTTTAATATAAAAAAATCTTCTACTAGAAATAAAACATTTACATGCGATTTACAAACTGATGGTATATGTGCTTCTGTTCACCTACAAAGGCAAAAAAAATTGGTGATGAATATGAAAAATTAGATTTGGAGGGGGTGTAGATTAGTTGATATTGACCATGGAAGAAGGTATTTATTTGTTGTTGTAGACCAAAATGAAAAAGTAATTAAATGCAGCACAAAAGAATATTATGAGATGGCCGGGTTTAGGAAGACAAGAAAAAAAAGTGAAGTTTGGATGAATAAAAATAAATGCATACAAGCCATTGATAAAGGTAAACATTTTGATTTTTTTTTTTGAAAAATTAATTAATTAAATATTATTATTCAATTCAATATTATATATTTCAAGTTTACCAACACCTTCTGTTTCTTCAATTCAGTTCATGGTTTCCAAGTGCAGCATCTCTCTGAAGCACTTTTTATATGGATGATTTATTTGACTTTTATAAAGAAAAACATTGGAGAAGGTTAAGATGATCAAATGGCCAAACCATATTGGTAAACAAAAAGACTATGGATAAAATCTGTAGGAGGATTTGCCAATAACGAAGAGAAAACTGTTGTGGCATTTGGTAAATATTACCTATTCTCATGATACTAATTTTTTATATTATTTAAAGAATTAAAATTTTTTTCATTTTATAATCACAGTCATGCTCCATTCCTATCAAGTTCTAAAGGACATGCTTGTTAGTCCAGTAAAGTAGCTGATGTGGGGGTTAGGGAAAAGATGCAGAATAAAAATTATTAATGAATTTAGAACTGGTAGAATATTGTTCCAAGTGTGAAGGGATATTTAGTAAATCTCAACAGTTTCGGACACTCCAGACATGTAGACACATGTGCCAGACCCTCTGGGATCATAATGTTAATGCTGCCGAAACATACTTTTGTACATGAATGAGAATGAGGGAGAAAGGCTTGAGATTTTTAAGGGGTGAGGGGGACTTAAATTGACCCCGCTGCTGCACATAATTGTGGCAGGAAAATCTTGTTGGCCAGCAGCAGCAATTTCGTCACAGTCAGCTATAGGGTGATTCCGATTTAGCATAACACAAATTTTATTCGTTAAATGTAAAAAAAAAAACTTTTAATCACAATAATAATAAGGACAAACTAATAACGATTATTTATTTATAGAGGTTTGTGTGACAAATTGAAAAAATACGTATATGGTGCGACGTAGTACTACGTCACTGTCAAAATTTTTTGTGTAATCTTAATTGGGCTCGACCAAATTAGAAATCTGCAGCATTAATAATTTTCAATTTCAGCCAAACAACCAAGTGCCAAAACTTCAAATAGAGCTTATGAAAGAGTTTTATTATTTTGTAGTTCCTAACCGAAAATCAAATTCTTTACGACTATTCGAAAATCAATTTATTCAAGGATATTTGAATATATAATTTATTTCGTAATTATTTTGGATACTCGTAATTATGATACTTATATTATTTTGAATATAATCATTTCAAACATTTGTTATGATAATATTGTAACAACTCATGAATAATTATCGATTGATAACAAATAATAGTACTAACTTATTTTGCTCTCGTGTTTCTAAGGTGTCCAGCTTCTCTTCTTTACTATTTACTATTTGCTTGTGTATTGAATTAATCAGCACTTTTTATCATATTCACAGTAAATATTTTGATTACAGCATGCCCATATAATTTAAAGATAATATAGTAAATGAAGTAGAGTGTTTATGTTTCTTTAATATTTTGTAGTAAATATGATCGATCAAGATACTGAAAAAGAATCATTAAAGTCAATTAAAGGCAATCAAAACTAAATTATTATGTAAACACGTTGACTTGAATAAAAAAGTGAAAAAACAAAAATGATGCATATGCTTTGGATAATTCAAATGGATATTAATATAGTGAATATGAACGAAATGACATAATTGGCACGGTAAAATCCTCGTTTTTTTTGAGACTAACCAACTATCCTATATGAATGTAAAAAGTCTTTGGGTAGTACAATTGTGATGTCATAGCTAATTCTTGGTCCTGTCCACTTTATCTATAGTTGCCCATATTAAAAGCAAAAAAATTGAATAATATTTTACTTTATTAATTTCTCAAGAGAAAGAATAAAAAAATGTTTGCTAGAAAAAATAATTCAAATTTTAAAGTCATATTTAATTATCATCATTTTAAACAACAAAGAAATCACCATAATCATCACCAGTATTATCAATGTCAATCTTATCAACATCTCCAAAAATTATTTTTTAGTAGTAATAGTAATAGTAATAGTAGTGATATTGATAGTAGAAGTAATGGTGGATATGGATCTACAGAAAATACTTTTCAAACAATTGAAAATAATGATAATTCCAAAGCTACAGAAAATCCCGCTAATTCCAATTCAAATCACAATCACAATCATGATCCCAATTTTAATCCCAAATCCAATAACATCACCAATTCTTCTCCTCCTCCTTCCTCCTCCTCATCAATAGATAATAAATCTAATCTTGATCCAACTATTCCCGTAGGTCAATCTGATCAAAGTACAAATATTTCAACACCAGTTTTTACAGATGGTCAAGCACCTACTGGAGGTATTTAATTAACCAATAGACTAAAAATTTCTTTATTATTTTTGTTTTTATATATATTTTTTATTAAAAAAATTTTTTTTTTTGAAAAGTTGAATTTCCAGACAGTTATAAAGATGATCAACATAAAGAGTCAATGATGAATAGTAAATATGATGATGATGATGATAACAACAAAAGTAGTGATGGTGGTGGTAATAGCGAAAAAAAAAAAGTTAAAGGTAAAAAAAAGGGTGATGTTGGAAAAAATGATAATGATAGTAATTTAATCTATTCGGAACCAAATTTACAAAGTACTGGCTAAATTAATTATCTGCTTTTTGAAGGGTGAAGGAAATGCTTTTTTTAAATAAAATGAAATAATTAATATATATTAATATATATATATATAAACAAGAATTAAAAAGATCTTATAATAATAATAATAATAATAATAATAAAGGATTTTAATTTTTTTTTTCTATTTATAAATACAATAAAAAAAGTAAATAATAATTTTTTGGGGATAAATATATAAAAATGAAAAAATATATATATGTATAAGAATAATTAATATATATAAAAATATATATATATAAAATAATATGTAAAAATAATAAAGGGTTTTTAAAATATATGTTTATAAAAACAAAATTTTGTATGTTTATATAAAATATTAATCTTAATACTAATATTTGATATTAATACTAATGTTAAAAAATGATGCTAATGCTGCTAATAATAAACGAAGCAAAGGAAGACAAAACGATTAAGACTAAAATTCTCTATGATCCAATAATCGAATTATAATTATTAAATAGAAACAGACTAAAAAATAATTATATATTGAATTATAAATAAAACCATAATAAATACAAAAGTAAAATTACATAAAGATTGATTATAATTATAATTATATAGTAATAATAATTATAATTATAATGATGATAATAAATTGAAACCAAAGATAAAACCACCTTGACTACTTTCGAATGAGAATAATTGTATTATTTCAAATCCCAAAATATACATATACTATTCAACAAAAATCATTAATTTTGGACAAGTTACTATTGCATGATTTAAATCGTCATCACCATCAAGTTTTTGAACATGTCCAGTATTATCATCTTTATATGTTAAAGTCATAACGTGTTCACCAAGTCTTTCATTTAACTTTTCCCTTAATTGAACATAGGTGATGTTTGACGGTACTCTGATAGCAATAAGATCATCTTTATATAATATTTTTATTTTCATTAAAGTTGATGATGATAATGAATTAGTATTATTAATACCGAAATTGATATTTGAATATGCTGAATTGGTTGTATTATCATCATGTACACGAGATGATTTGATAAAAGGTTGACCACCTCCACCACCGCCACTAACTGAAGGACTACTACTGTTGCTGTTATGGTGATGTTTGGAAGGTGATTGTAATGATTTATAATTTATAGCAGTGAGAGGTAATGATGTTTGAGAGTCACTGTTGTTGTGCGTATAAGATGAAGAAGATATTGGTACTATTGGGTCAATTGGTGAGTTATCTGCATCTGTAAGCGGACCTCCCTTTACATCAACAGCGGCATCAGGTTGTCTAGGATCATTTCTTGTTTCAATATCACCCTTTTTTATGCCAAAAAGTTGATCTAGCAAAGGGTCTTTTAAAATTTTTGGTGGTAAAGTTATCAATTCTTTGACATAAATATCTAAATCATTTCTTCTCTGTTGTGTAATCCTATCATCTACATATGTTAATGGTCCAGGCATAAATGGTAATATGCGTTTTTTACCTGTACGTCCTGCTTCTTCGGGATATTTATTTAAAAGTGCAATTTGAAAGTCATAAAAATCTTCATAGATTCGATAAAGAATTCGAAAACGCCTTGAACTTAACTCAACACGAATTAAAAACCAGTATTTTCCATTATCGAAATGAAATGATTCGATGGAAGCTGAAACCATTTCGTCATTAGCATAATTATCTTTTCTATTACTATAAACTGATGGTGTATCTTCTCGTTGTCGTATAGGACTAGTTGGCAAAGTTGAAGAAGAATCAGATTTTCTATTGTTATCATCATCACTGTTACTGTTATCCATATTGTATGGAGCAAGTTTAGGAAAGTCCAAACGACCTAATGAAATACTATTTGCCTGATAGTCTTTTGTCATTTTTTTCCATTCCTCAACTTTTGGAACTATTGATTTATCCATTAATTCTTGTACATTCTCAACTGCTTTACCGGTCGCATGATCTCTAATTTCTATAAATGACACTGGTATAAGACCAGGGCCTCCCAGACGACCGATAGGTTTTGCAACAAACCATTCATGATTTGATTGTGCAATTACAATAATTGGTTCACCAGCTTTAGCATCTAATTCATCTGGTCTTTCAGCAAAAAAATCATATAAAACAATACCGTATAATGGTTGTGGTTTTGTCCCAGGCTTATTAATATCTTGTATTATTGCGGTTGAACCTTTATCTTCACTCATCCGATTACTTTTCTCTAATATTTGAAAATATGAAACTGGTGCAAACCCTTGTACGTTTGTAGCTGGATTACATGCTTCGTACCAATTAGGATCATTCTCATTTCCAATAACATGAAAGAAATCTCCTTTTGAAAAAGAAAGTTCATGGGGTGCTTGTGCTTCGTAATCATATAATGCTTTAATAACTTTTTTGGGCGGTAAAATGGATGGTACTGATTCTTTGTTTGGAATAGCAACTGGCGTGGAAATTTTTTCTTTTGTTACAGAGCGACGAAACTCTAGTGGCTTAAGAGATTTCGATACTTTGGCCATTCCCTTCATTTTCTATTTTAGATTAATAAATTTATATAAAGGTTTATTTAATGTTTTTTTATCACTCACTCACTCTCTCTCGTACTGCTGGCTAACTGATTATAAGTAATATAAAATTGTTCTATAAAAAAGACCAATAATTTGCTAATATTAATAATAATATTTTTTATTATTTTTTTTTTTTTGCCAACAAATAATTTAAATAATCCAATTATTATGCACACTAGACTCACAAAATTCCAATTTAAAATTGCCTTTCCAAAAAAGGAAACCTGTAAGATTTTTTTTGAAAGTTTATTATGGATAACACTGTAAAATATCCGATGTTTGACACGAATTTGTACATATATTTAGTTAGCATTATCAAAACGCGAATAACGAGCCATATGAGATTGCGTATAGTTATATCATATATTAATATATTCTTATAATTCACAAATTCAATTAATTCAAACTGAAATTTTTTTAAAAACCAATCAATTCATTTATCCAGAATCAATCCAACAAAAGAATCACTGATTAATCCAATAATCTCTTAAAAACAACAAAATTCTTGTGTGTGCATCATCACACGACACATTAAAATTTCTTTTGAGTAATACCACATATTTTTATATCATCATACATACACATTATTGATTATTATTACGCTCAAGTATTTTACCCAAATTTGAAAATCAATTCTAGAAAAATCTCTTTGTCGATCAATTCATACAAATGATTTAAAGTGATATCGGGATGGTCGGTCAACTAACTTATGCATATAAATCAAAGTTATTGACATAGTCATAAAAATTAATTCGTGGCCTGTCGATCAACGATAGAATCGTCATTAATAAAATTAAAAAAATGAATTTCATTATGCAAGGTCACAATCTAGATCTTTAAAAAAAATGCAACAATCTTTTTTTTCATTATTATTATATTAAAATATATAGTTTACTTCGGAGAAGCTACGGATTTCGGGTATAAAATATAAAATTTTTTTTACACTTAAAATGTTTTCAGACAATGAAAGTTTTTCTATAGTTATTTGAAAATAAAATACTTTAATAAAATTCAGGAGCCCTTTGATTTATAGCTTGTTTTGATGTTTCAGCTTTACAGGCGCAGCATAACGTGAAATCCAGCCTTGAATATATCCTACTTTTAGGATTGACTCTTGCGATATTTCACCGTCATTTTAACCATTTTTATTAATTCTGTATGTATACATTGAACTGAAGAACAATCACTTCTACTAACATTACCTTATAAAAAAATCCTTGTAAGATGGTAATTATTTTTTTGGAAAATTTTGTTCCCTTATTTTCAAATTTTTTGATTTTCTTTTAATGTCTAACTTTTTTTTCAAAATTTTCTACATAAAATATTATTATTATAATTTGTAAGCAACAATTATTAAAGGACTTATAATGTTTGACTTTGTGGGATTATAATATTGGTTTTGGATTTATTGAATTCTGAAGATTATTTATCTACAAAAGAATATTTTTCTACATTAAAAATAATGGGAATTTACCCAATAAATAATTACCTATACTTTTAGATATTGATATACTCCAAGGTTGTAATAGCAAAGACCTTGTTCTAATATAACCAGTGTATTCACCTGTCATTCCCATTCAAACCAATTGGATATACCAATATTTCAAATTTTTTTAATTTGAGTATAGATGATCTGCACTGTATTTCATTCTATGTATATTTTTTGGACATCATGTAAAAAGTCATGTTTTCTGTAATACTCCCAATAAATCATCATATTAAACATTTTGATAATAAAAACACTTTTACATAAAGTAGTTAATATCATGTGGTTACATCACAAAGTTACTATATTTTTTTGTGGCCTTTTCAACTGGTGATCTGAAGTTATATCATAATAAATCTGCAAATTTCTATTCTAATATTTTACTGCTGCTAACAAAATAATAATCAATCGAAGGCATTAGAACCGATCCTGTAAAGCTTGGACATAACATATTAAATATTTATGTGACTTATGTGATTTGTAAACATAAAAATAAGAGAAGTATCACTTTATTATTCATTAATTTTGTCAATTGTATAAAAAAGCACTTATCAATCATAATAAAATATAGATCAGTAAATTAGTGTATTATTAATAAAAATACCATTAAACTCAAACAACTAATTACCTCACAGTGTGATGCTGTAAATGTGTGATCCAAGTTGTTGATTAAAATAGATAATCCTAACACTAGATTTCCTGACTAGGTCTAATAATATATGTTTTTCTGAAATCTCAACCTACCAACTAGTTCTCCTGTTAATGTTTTAGCTACCAAATGCTTTACTTATTGCAGATGATTTCTGGTTATTGTGAGTGTCTTTTGTTTCATCCAGCTGCACATGCTTATGATTGCAGATGATTTCTGGAGAGTTTTATCCTTCCAGCTGCACATGGTAATTATGGTTGCTTACCAAAACTCCTCTGGAAATCAATCAGCAGAGTTTTGACATGTTACACACTAACTGTTTATTAGAGTTTTGGCAGAGTTTCGCATTCGGGAGTTTTGACATTTGGCAGAGTTTTGGGAGATTTCGGCAATTATTGCGGCTAATTCATAAACAGCCTTACTCTCAATAGTAAGATCATCCCAACTTTCACTATAAACGCATATCTGAAAACCGATTACTATTAAGCTTATAGAAAAATACCTCTATATAAGAGCAAATATATAGTAAGAACATTTTTTAGAAAAAATCACTATGTTCCTGATAAGGTTTTGTAATAAAATCGTATAACTTTATAACCTCTTCTTTTTATTACGTTAGTCCGAAGGCGTTTTGTGCAGCCAGCCACTTTTCTTCGGATTAACGGAAAACTAAATAAATTTCTGATTATGTTAAATAATAGGGTTTTAGATTAACGGATTTCGGATTAACGGAGTTGCCTATTTAAAAAAACTCTCCGTTACATTATTGTTGTTATGTAGTAGTAGATTGTAAAAAATAGTGTTGATTTATAGTTTCCATACATTAATATGATTTTTGAACCTTGGCATTTTAAAGATTAGATGTCTTTAGATGACATGAACCATATGCAAGCGTGAATGAGAGTAAGAACGGTCTATTTTATATACAATAATCTATGAGATTCTAATTATTTTTTGATACAATAATAATTCCGAAAGCTTTTATTTGTCTGACATTCAACAAAAAATATGCTAATTTAGTCCTTACCAATAACACTTGATAAGAACATGAAAAAGTAGTTTAATAATGAAACAAGAATTTACAAGAATTTCAAACCCAAGAAAGCTTATCTTTGGATTAGTAGAGTTGTAATGTCAATAATTTCTGAACCCTGTAATTTCTGTTACTTTGTCTAAATGCCATCATTATATATTAATTAATATATTTTATTACACTTTTTTCTATAAAAATGAAATATTAAGTAGATTAAATTATATTTTATTATACTTTTTTCTATAATAAAAATTAAGTTAAAAATATCAATAATAAAATAAAAAAAATTAATATTTATAATATTAAAATGTAACATATTATTTTAGTTAAATTATATATTAAAAAAATTATGATTCTTAAAATAATTTTCTCTATTTATATATATTATTTTGAAAATTTATACAACGTCCCTAAGGAAAAAATTTTATTAGATTTGTTTTTTTAAAAAAAAATTAAGTTTGATAAGTTGTATTTCAATAAATTTTTTTATTTTTTTCATGATTATTTAATCAATTGTCAAATACAATCTTTAAATTACTATTTTTTTATACTAAACTTACTGCGGTAATTCAAATTTCTTTCCTTCTTTTAATACTCTATAATAACAAAAATAAAAAAAGAATGATTAAAAAAATTTATCTCTTAAATGTTTCATCTTTTTCAAAAAAAAAAACTTACTTTGTATAATAAATATAAAAGAAATCACTATATAAAGCTGTTTGGATAGCACCAGCAATCCAAACAATCCAATCAACATGTCCTTCAAATGTAAAACGCCACAACCAATTTATTAAATAAAGTGCACGATATGCGCCTAACGCAAATAAATAATGTGTTGTAATAGTTTCAGCTTCTCCAGTACGTGAAAGCATAAACAGTTGTGGCAGAATGGCAACAGATTCAAGATAGATTGAAAATGTCCACAAGACCTTTGGTGATGATGTAAAATGAGTTGGTTGATTGATCAATTAATTAATTGAAGTGGTTAATTAATAATTATAGTAGAAACAAAAATTAATTACCAATAAAATAAAATAAAATATTAACTATTTACCTCAGTAAACGTGAAATAATAATTAAATATTAAACCAAGTAATAAACTTGCTCCTAACAAATATTCTATACGAAATGTATCTAGATTTGGATCATAAGTTGCTCGGAATTTAGCTTTCATTAAATATAAAATGTAAATTGACGTAGCTATAAAGAAAACTTTCATTAAAGTATTGTAAACTGAAATCCATGTTGTAAATAAATCCAAGTAACGTGTAACGAAAACTATTGCATAAAGTAGTTGTGTCTTAAACGAAATCCCTGGATGTGAATTAACATGATGTTGTTATTGCAACTTAATAATAATAATAGCTAATCTCGATAATCTCGGATCATAAATATACAAAATACATAATTCTAAATAAAAAAACCATACCAGCACATGATCTTGTTTTTTGAATCTTTAACAATAAAATACAAATTGATACTAAATGCATCAAATCTGCCAAAAGTCGAAAAATATTCATTTTTTATTATTTTTATTATTTTTAACTATTTCTCAAAATGTTTGCGTTTGTCCGTCCTTTAAATCTTTTAAATGGGGAATTATTATTATTATTGATATTAAAAATTATAATAAAATTAAGGAAAGGTGTTTGTGTGTGATTTGGCCAATAAAAAAATATCAATCAGTATCACAGTAACTATATATTAATTGGGGATTGATATGCATTCTATTGATTCTATTTGTTATTACTTCTGTAATTAGAATCACAGAAGGATTATCTTCGAATCAGGTTGAAGTTTATACGCACATTTCAATTAATTTTGCTGGGAATTTTATCTCAAAGATTATAACAATGAAAGGTGCCAAATTTGAATAAACCATTATAATGTCATATCTATTTTTGGCAAATTTATTATTAAAGATTTGGTAATCCATCATCGTGTAGTTTCTATGCCTTAATTGAAAGCTAACATTTCGGCTAACGCCGATTGTGGCTGAACTTTTGGGCCACTCTTGTAAGCCATACACAATAATTTGGTGTTTGTCAATTAAACGAATTTACTTTAGTTCTCGCTTACTTCCTCTTTCTCCTACCTAGGAAGCTTTGGCAAATGTATAGTAGTAGGCATATTTAATGGTACCAAGCAACCATAAATAAATAGATTAGTTCTTTTACAAAGCTCAGAGGCTTCTATAAAGTTTCATTTATTCACTTGTGACAGTCGTTCGTTTACCCTTGTTTATTTTTTATCTGAAAGATTATAAGCTCGCTTTGGTTTATTTACAAAACGACTTAAACAGCTTGTTTAACAGCCTTACACCTACAATAACAATAACATTACCAGTATTTCAAATTAACCTTTGGACAATACTTCACTAACCGCCGTTAATACTCACTAGTTAACCAACGTCAATACGAAACCTTTATTTCCTCACTGAAGCAAACTACGTTGTTAATAGTTGTTGACGCTCACAACTTTTTCTAAAGCAAATAAACGTGACTTTTAGCAAAGTTTCGTAATTGTTGCCTTTTTACCAAAACGCTAAATGAAAAATAAATGCAAAATAAAAACCTTTAATTATGTTAAGGTAGTATTTGTTTCCCCACTTTTTTCAAAAGGTCGAAATGATATAGAATAAATAAGGATAAAAATTGATCATTAAAAAATCAACATTTTATTTATAATTATTCCTATTAGTTTCTGGTAAATATAGCATTTGAGATTTGATTGAATTATATTTACAGTATTCCATTTTGTATTGGTTTCAAGGTCCAAGCATTTATTTTATTTTCTGCATAGAGCTTTTACCTGTCTATTTGACTTTTTCAACTTATCAATGTTTTTCATTCATCGACAAATTTGTCTCTGCAATGGAAGTCCAATAGTAATTTCTTAGCAACAGCATACAATATGCGATAAAATCCAATGATCTAATGTAACATTGTGAAAACCTTTATTCTAAAAATAAGGTCATCATCATATTTAAAAGTTGCTTTGTTAAATAGTAGATCACGTGCAACATTGCTGTGAGATAAATAAGCATAAATTAAATAGTTTGTATATAGAATTTTCCATATAATCTTAAACTCTAAAGAAAACTGGACAAAGATACTAAAAACAGCCGATATACTTAAGACACGTGGACCACCATTTAGTATTCTTGATCTTTGTCGAAGGTTGTGAAAGTGTTGAATGTAAAGAAAGATCTTTATTAACCAAATTGAAACCCTATGGAATTTTCAAGGATTTTGGAAATCAAAAAATTCTACTAAAGATAAGATAAAATAGTAATGGTCAAAATATTAATAATAGAGATAAAAATATAACAGAGATGATGCTGATGATAATAATAATAATAACAATAGAGGTAAAAATCCATTTTTATAAATACTTCTATTTTAAGCAAATCTTATAAACCAAAAAATTATCAATTATTCAAACAATCATTAACATCATCATCAAATAATCAAAGATCAAGTGAATTTTGACATTTACATTAAAGAGGAGGGCCAGAGATGTTATCAGTTTTAATTTTATTATTTATTAATTGAACTGAATTTTAATAATAAAATATAAGATTTATATTTACAAATATAATTTGAGTTTAATAGCTTCTTTTTCAACTTTTGTATTATTAATGAAGTGTAGCTTGGAATTCATCCCACCAATTCTGAGCCATCAAGTTTGTGTCATGCATAGTCAAACCAACTCCGTGTGCATTTTTATAAATTAGTCTTAAAATTGCTTCAGAATTTTGTATGAATTGCATCATCTCACGAACAGTTATAGGTTCGTTATACCATTTACCAAGAATCTCTTTCGTGTTAATAATAATCTCGTTCATCGTACGAGAGTTTTGAAACACATCAGAGAAGGTAGTAAACCAGAAACGATCCAATAATCGAAAAATTGTAATTGTATTCCATGGTTCAGGTTCATTTACTGGATAAGCCCAATCGACACCATGAGATTGTTGAAAATGATATTTCATAGCTGGTGGTAGATTTTCACGAAGATCATTGATTATATTGGTGAAAACTAGACTTTGATTTTTACTGATTTTACCCACCAAGAATTCAACTGGAATTGTTAGCGTTTCTTGTGACATCGCAAATGATAAATCAGGCTGTTTTTCTGTTTGTAATAAACTTAATGTATCAAATAATCGATTTTTATTGTTGTTGTTGTTGGTAGCAATCTGATAATGAAGTTGATGAAGATGTTAATGGAGGGGCAGAAGGAAGAATTATATAATTATGAATTTAAATTGTTATTATTCTTGTTAAAGGTTTGTTTATAAAAATGAGTCACATTAAAATTTTCGAATTGTGTAACAAATCCGTTTTTAAAAATATCTCATTATTTTTTTATATTTTTATAATTTTTATAACAAATTCAAACACCATTATAATATAAGATAAAACTGTGCCATTAAAGTTTCTAATAAATCCTCTCTCATATTGATAGAGGCTCTCTATGTAAAGCTATAGTTATTCAAAAACAACATTACTTATCACTTCAAAACTGAGATTTTTCCCTTTATAAATTTGATGGGTGGTCAAAAAGATGCAAGTTTTCATATGGGCGTAGTTTTATAGAAATCCCAAAAAGAAATAATATATTAAAATTTACAAATTGAGGCCAAAAAAAGATAATTTCTAAATGCGGTAGAAACTCGAAAAAACTGAAATTACATGTGATCCACTTACTAAATTCGTCTTGTCGATTTTATCATAGTTTTTGTTACAAGTGGGATAGAAGATTTCTTGTTAATTAGAGTATTAATATTGAATGAAAATTTAATTTTATGCCTTTTGCAAACTCTGCCTATATCCCTTTCTATAAATGTCAATATGCCCCCAACCTTTTATGCACGGTGATGAATTGTTGTCAATGATATCATTTTTTTCTATAAATTGATTTTAGATTTTTTTTTTTTTTGTTAATGGCATACGTAATTAATTATATATGAAAGAAAATTGATTTGATTAAAAAACATGTTGTTACAGCATGAATTTTATATCTACATATATAAAGCCAGTAATTTCAAAAGCTCTGTCTGGTTGGTTTATTTATTTTTTTTGACTTTTAACTAAATTTGGTAAATTTAAAAAATTTTTTTTTTTGAGTTGACAACTGTAGAAAGAAAGAATTCTCGACTAATATTAAGATTAAATGATAAATAAATATGATGACGATTTATTAAATTTTTCTTGTGATTGTTGTAAAGAACAAAAAAAAATTAAACGACTCTATTGAATGTGACCAACCAACACTATGATTCGAAAGTAAAAAATGCAACCGTCTCACCATAGATCGTATTAATAGAAAATAAAAAAAGATCACGTCGTCTTTATATAATTTGAAGAAAAAAATGGGTTCACATTTTTTATTCATAATAAAAATATTATTTAGCCATTAAATGTTACACGCGTAATTTTGTATTAGTAAAGAAGCTTACTTGATTTGGTCATAGCTATAAATTTACAGTTATAACGAACTTTTAACTATTACTATAAACGTACAAAATCCGTTATAATACACTAGTAAATTCATTATAATGAGGTTTGGCTGTATTTGTTTCATCATTTCGATCAAATATGAAGACATTTGAAATTTAGATTAACCAATCCTCTGATATTAGAACAAGAAAGCTAAAATTGATTGATCTTGGATAATTGATTGCTTATATTGTATGTAGTATAAGTAACTTCTTTCGTAAGCGCGAAAAAAAAAATTGAATCTGCAATATTTGGATAAAAAAAAATTTTTAATATTAAAGTTTAAAAAAAATTTTTTTTATCAAGAAATTTTAATAATAAATATTCGAATTATTTAGTACCATAGAAAATATCCAACTGTTGCACTATATTTCAAAGGAGCATCAGTTAATAATGTATACTTTGGTTTTTGCTTATTCGGTGAAAAAATATATTACATAAAAATTCATATAGCATACATATAAAATCTAAATTAACTATTAATTATGAATGGTATATAAATCCACGTAAAAATGAGCCACCAATAATATCGTATTTGGTGGATTTTATCGAAAAAATCGAGAAAGGATAAATGATAAAAGTAATTTATAATTCAAACGACCTGTCACACAAAACGGTTTTCGTTTTTTCCCGACATTGAAATTTTATCAACTCATCGTCAAATATCTATAAAGACCAACTCTTTCTTCTATAACTATCGATTTATTTATTAGAAGTGAGATAAAAGAATGGTTTTTATATTAGTGCGAAAAAAATAAAAGTAAATAGGTTTTATTTATTTTAAAAGTAAGAGAATTATTGAATTTGAACGTGTTTTACAAGTTTTTTTTTTATAAAACATGTTGTTTATTAATTGTGCAATGCCAATAAAATAAACTGGGTAGACTGAACAAGTCTTTGCCAGCGAATGGCTTTGAATGGGTCATAATTTATCAATTCGAAGCTTGTTCTTAAGCCAAAGCTTGTTGATAAAAATAAATAATAATCAATTAAGTTGAAGGATCTGTGCCTTTTGAGAACAATAACAACACAGTCCGGAATGTTTTTTTATTAACTAATACTAGTGCTAATTTACCTGGATGGTACTCATGTAATAGGTATTATCCAATGAGTTATTTATTGCGATGAAGTCAAAATGTTTGATTTTCTGTGAAAATTTTGTTTCCCACATTATCACCCGGAACATTTCAGTAAATAATAATTTTTATTTGAATAATTATCTATTCAAAAATATTTAACAAGTAAAAATTACAGAATAATACAAAAAAAAAACAAAAATTTTTCCCCCATTGGTATTTTGAAAAACAATATAAATATGAAAAAAATATTAATAATAATCGAGAAAAATTTTAATGAATGAATTAGTTAAATGTGCATAATTGATAATATAAATATCCAAATTGTAAATCATGTGATAATTATGATAATTATTATCAGCTTGTTGTTCTATTAATGTTTTCCAATCTCAAACTTTCATTGTTACTATTATTATTACCTGACGCTGACCTATTTCTTCTAAAAAATCTTTCTAAATTACCAAAAAGACCCATAATATTATTATGGCCAGTATTATTATTATTATTATCAATTATATTATTATTAAGATGATTTCCACCACCAGATTCATCCTCATTATTAGTATTACTACTACTACTGTCAAGATTACAATCTTTCTTACAAAGAGGACATGAACTGCTCTTATTGATTAACCACGGATCAATACATTCTACATGAAACCAATGTTTACAAGGCAACTCTCTTATTTCATCACCGTTATCATAATCTTCAAGACAAATAGCACAAGTTAAGTCATCCTCATCTGAATCTTCTTCTTTAGTCTTGTCATTATTGTTATTATTATCGTTATCATTATTTATTTTTTCTTGACCGTTTGTTACTGAATTATTATTAACATCATCATCATCATCCACAACATCATCAATTTTCACTACTACAACTTTATCAATAGATGACGATGATTCTTCCATGAATATAATATGTTCTTCTTTTGATTTGTTATTATAAAGATTTGTAGCATTGTTTATAGCATTAACTGAACGAGTGGACCGAGTTGAGCGAGTTGAGCGAGTTGAGCGAGTTGAGCGAGTTGAGCGAATAGATTTCATAGACGCTGTACGATTAATTGATGCCACGGGACCTGTAGCTGTAGAGCTATTGTCTTTATTATTATTCTTATCGTTATCATCGTCATTAACAATTTTCTTCTTTTTTTGATATATTATGACAGGAAATGTGTTAACAATCTCTTTTCCCAAAGTCCATTTCTTCATTCCCATTAAATCTTCAGCATCACGTTGTCTTCTAATTTCATCTTGTTGATTTCTTCTCATGCGATAAAGCCTCATATGTATTAGAATCGAGACAAAGAATGAAATTACCAGAATACCACCCACTGCAAACATTGCAAATAGCCATGAACTGACAATTATTGGTTGATAAGGTCTAAGACTGGCACGTAACACTCTATAGGGTAAGTTATCATTAATCCCTTTGGAAAAGTTGTTATATATTTCTTGTAGAGATTGTGTAATTTTCGATGAATCCTGTAAATCGATTGAGAAAACGGGTATTCGAGCGTTGTTAACGTCAAAGCTATACATAATGATAATTACGCCACTCACACCATCTTCTATTGCTTTATTTATTTTATCATCGATGCTGCAATTAGTCGTATCTGATGTAACCAACCCTATAAACTTATTTGGAAAAACGTTAGGAGGAAGTACTGGACTTATTGCATTTGCTGGTTTTTGTTCAAGTTTGTATGGATTATACGTGTTACAGCCATCACCACGGTCATATAATATACCTTGCACATTGTCTTTCAACGTGTAATAATCACTATTGAGATGTGCTACCTTACTACTATCAAAGGTCTGTTGGTTCTCGGTCGTTGATTCCGAGCCAATATTTTTGTTACGGTCAATTTGGTAGAAGTTATCAATAACGATCAATGGACCGACTCCTGAAGGCTTTAATACTTGTTGTGTGGTGGCAAAATATAATACAGTAACAAGACCTACAAGAAATATTAAAATAATGTAACGAATCATGGAGCTTGCTGATATTATACTAGTCAAACCAGACAGTCTAGTAAAAATTGTTGCAGCATTATTATCGCCGTCGTTGCTGTTGTTATTGTTATTATTGTTGTTGTTGTTGTTGTTGTTGTTATTGTTGTTGTTATTGTCGTCGTCGTCGTTGTTGTCACCATTTCGTGAAGAGGTTGAGGACGATGTCACAGATCTAGGAAATAATATTTGTGGCATATTTTAAATATTTTTTTCCTTAATTTTAATATTATTATTAATTACTATTATTTGTGAAATTAATTGTCATAAAAAAACTTCTTTTTGCTATTTGGCATTAAGTGGAAGACCTGCTATCACTTAAAGAAAGGATAAAAGTTTGTTCGACTTTAAAATTTTAATTTTCTAAATCTTTAAAACTCATTAATATTTTTTAATTTCTATAGAAGATTCTAATGTAACCATCGTGACGGACAATTTTGTAGATCGTTTTATTTTTAATTATAATATTAATAATATTAAAAATATATATACTCGGGTAACAATTCGGTCGAAGGGAATTACTTATTCCTCAATATTAACATAATAAAGATATTGGTTAGCAATAAATTAGCAACTAGCTGTTCAATAGAACTACAACGCCAAATATGTTCCAGCAAAAAGTTTGTGTTTCTAAAATTTTATTTTATTTATTTTTCTATGAATCAATCCGCCACATTAGTTTGAAAGGCCAAAGGAATTATTTGCTGAATAATATAATAATATGGTATATTTTCTTCTCATAAATATATTTGGCCAATGATAAAAAATTTCATTATCTATTATTAATGTTGTGTAAAGTGATCGCCATATTAATATATTCATTTACTATTATGGAAAACATTAATATTAATTTAATAATCCTCTTTATGCGATTTAAATAAATCATGATTGATATCAGTATCAAGGTAACTTGCATTCGAACATTATAAACATTACTAATTCATCAAACTACAACCAAATAATAAAAATGTTTCCAAAATTTTCTTTCAATAAACAATTCAATAAAAATGCGACTTGTTCTTGGCTTTTGGGACGGAATTTGCGTTTTAAATTTTATTTCCTAATTTGGTAACACCGACCTCTGTATATAAATATATTTCGGGATCAAATCGATAAAATAGAGCAGTAAAAAAAAAATATTCGAAGAAATGGAAAATCTATGGAAGGGTTTCAAGCAATTATTTGAGATCTATGAATTACTTGATGAAGAAAAGGTGTTGTTGCTCCCACTATAAAAATTTCTACCAATGAAAAATGAATCTTGAAAAAAATGAGAGAAGTGATCAATAAAATGGGTTAATAAATAGAGGAGGGTGAGGAGGAGGAGAAGGATGGAAAGAAAGACGAATACTGATATCAGCAATAGTAATAATATTAATAATAACAGTGAAAATATAGAATATCTTTTACATCAGAATAGATGGTATTCATTAATGATTTCCCATGCAATTCCTTTGGTAGTTCTTTTATCTTATAATTTCTTCAATATTTAATATTTATTCTTAATCAAAATACAATACAACCCTCGTTTCAACACATATATTAAATTTCATTTAAAATCCCGTTGAAACGAAATTACTAATCGCGTTTCAACGGATTTTTATATTTTTTGATAATATTTATTAAATCAATAGAATTCGTTGTAAAATAAATAATAATAACTAACAATTAAATTATTCTGTTTTTGATTTTTTATTATTATTATTTTTAATTCGTGTTTCGTAGAAATCTTGGGGATCTGCGAGATAAGTTAATTGGAATCTCACAACCTCCCTATTACTATAATTAAAACCACAACGCATATCGACACACACATAAAAACATAATTGTTTTTACTCCCAAAAGGTTATATTTACTCTAGTATATATATTATGGATATTATTTATAACAAATAATAAGAGCTTTAATAATATTTCTCAAAGCAATATAAATGACTTTTCAACTGATTATAATTTAAATTTATATATAGGAGATAATAATACCAACAATAATATAAGTGAAAATAGCATTGATAAGATTTATATATGGCAATCAGATAATACAAGTAAAATTAGCATCAATGAAGATTTATATATGGGGATATGATAATGACAGTGATGATATTTCTTTAAAAATAAATATGATTACAAAAACATCTAATCTTATTTTCCTAATAAGTCTGTAATATTGGTATTGTAAAATAGTAAATTATAAATCACGGGAAACGAACATATAAATCGGAAATGATTTACATGTATCACGAAGTGAAAA